ACCAAAAATGAGGTGGATGATCACAGTAACTGGTTTTACCTTCACATCACTGAAAAAGGCACTGAGGTGGAGAGAAAAGACAGTCTTGAATTGTTGACACCACCCCTTCCCCATCCACCAGCAGTGGCCACATGGCATAGAGAATCGTGCACTTAGGGGAGGGAGAGCACAGCAACTGGGGGACTTTACGCTGGAACTCAGCGCTGCCAACATGTGGCAGAACTTAGCCTGCGCCCACAGAGGGAGCATTTTATAAAGCCCTAGCAAGAGGGTATTCACCCATCCCAGCAGTTGCAACTGAGTCTTGGCTAGCCTCACAACCACAGGCTAAACTGCTCTGTGATCCTAAATAAACTTGGTAGGCTGTCTAGGCCACAAGGACTGTACCTTCTAGGTACATTGTGGAGCTATACTGGGATTGCAGCCAGTGGATTTAAGGGACACATGACCAAGTCAGAGAGCAGCTGGTGCAGCTAAGGGAGTGCTTGCATCACCCCTGCCCCAACCCCAGGTAGCACAGCTTGCGGGTCCAAAAGAGACCCCTTCCTTCTGTTTGAGGAAAAGAGAAGGAAAAGTGAAGAGGACTTTGCCTTGCAACTTGGATACCAGCTCAGCCACAGCAGGACTGGGTACTGGGTATCAGTCATGAGGCCCCCTTTCCAGGCCCTAGCTCCTGGACAACATTTCTAGACACACCCTGGTCCAGAAGGGAACCCACTGCCTTGAAAGGAAGGACTCAGTCCTGGCAAGATTCATTACCTGCTGACTAAAGAGCTCTTGGGGCCTGAATAATCAGTAGTGGTAACCAAGTAGTACATGCTGTGGGCCTTGGGTGAGACTCTGAGAGGGGCTGGCTTCAGGTGTGACCCAGCTTATTCACAGCTGTGATGGCTACAGTGAGAAACTCCTTCTGCCTGAGAAAAGGAGAGGGAAGTATATAGGGGACTTTGTCTTGCAGCTTAGGTACCAGCTCTACTACAGTGAGGAAGGGCACCAAGTGGGCTCGTGGGGTCCCCATTTCCAGACCTTGGCTTGTGGATGGTATATTTAGCCCAGGGATGGACCTGCCCTGGGCTAGAGGGGAGTCCAATGCTCTAAAGGGTGAGTCCCAGGACTGGTAGCATTAACCACAAGCTGACTAAAGAGCCCTTGAGCATTAAGGGAACATTGGCGGTACTGTGGCAGTACTCCCTGTAGGCACATGGTGGTGGTGGACATAGGGGGAGGCCCTTCTGCCTGGGGAAAAGGGAGGGAAGAGTGGGAAAGACTTAATCTTGTGGTTTCAGTGCCAGTATAGCTGCAGTAGAATAGAGCCACCAGGTATATTTCTAAAGTTTCTGAATCTAGTCCCTGGGTCCTGGACATCATCTCTGGACCCACCTGGGGCTCAGGGGAACTTGCCACCCTGAAGGGAAGGACACAAGACTGGCTGGCTTCACTACTTGTTGATTGTAGAGCCCTGGAGACTTCAGCAAATATAGGAGGCAGCCAGGTAGTGGTTACAGCAGGCCGTAGGTAAGACTCAGTACTATGCTTGCCTCAGGTTTGACCCAGCCCAGTTTCAGTAGTGGTGGCCACAGCGGTGCTTATGTCACCCCTCATCTAGCTTTGGGAAGCTCAGCACAGAGGGAGGACTCTGGGAGAAACTAAGGGAGGAGAGCAAGAGTCTTTGTTTGGTAATCCAGATAATTTTTCTGGATCTTATTCAAGACCACCAAGGTGGTACCTCTATGAGTCTGCAAGAACTACAGTGTTACTGGGCATGGGGTGCCCTTAATGTTGATATGGCTGCAGTGACCAAAAACTTAGATTACAACATCCAAGTCCCTTCAAATACCTGGAAAGCCTTTTCAAGGTGGAGGTGTACAAACTAGCCCAAACTGTGAAGACAACAATAAATACCCAACTCTTTGATGCCAAGACAGCAAGGAACATACACAAGCATCAAGATCACTTTGGAAAACACAACCTCACCAAATAAACTAAATAAGGTAGCAGGTGCCAATCCCAGAGAGACAGAGATATGTGACGTTTCAGACAGAGAATTCAAAATAGCTGTTTTGAGAAAACTCAAAGAAATTCAAGCTAACACAGAAAAGGGATTCAGAATCCTATCAGGCAAATTTAATAAAGAAATTGAAATAATTAAGTAGAATCCAGCAGAAATTCGGGAGTTGAAAAATGTAATTGACATACCGAAGAGTCTCTTAGTAGTAGAGTTGATCAAACAGAAGAAAGAATAAGTGAACTTGAAGACAGGTTACATGAAAATATACAGTCAGAGAGGACAAAAGAAAGAAGAACAAAAAAGAATGAAGCACACCTACAAGACCTAGAAAATAGCCTCAAAAGTGCACATCTAAGAGGTATTGGCCTTAAAGAAAAGCTAGAGAGAGAGACACAGGGGTAGAAAGTTTATCCAAAGGGGGCAGGCACGGTGGTTCACGCCTGTGATCCCAGCACTTTGGGAGGCTAAGGCAGGTGGATCAGGTCAGGAGTTCAAGACCAGCCTGGCAAACATGGCAAAACCCTGTCTCAACTAAAACTACAAAAATTAGCCAGGCATGATGGCAGCTGCCTGTAATCTCAGCTACTCAGGAGGCTGAGGCAGGAAAATCACTTGAACCTGACAGATGGAGGTTGCAGTGAGCCGAGATTGCGCCACTGCACTCCAGCCTGGGCGACAGAGCGAGACTTCATCTCAAAAAACAAAACAAAACAAAACAAAAAAAAAAAAGAGAGAGAGAGAGAGAGAAAGCTTATCCAAAGGGATAATAACAGAGAACTTTCCAAAACTAGGGAAACATACTATTATCCAAGTACAAGAAGATTATAGAACATCAAGCAGATTTAACCCAAAGAAGATTACCTTAAGGCACTTAAAATCAAACTCTATGTTTAAGAGACATAACTTAAAGTAATAAAAGCCTTCTATGACAAGCTCATAGCCAACATTATACTGAACAGGGAAAAGTTGAAAGCATTCCCCCTGGGAACTGGAATAAAACAAGGATGTCCACTTTCACCACTTCTGTTCAACATAGTACTGGAAGTCCTAGTCAGAGCAATCAGACAAGAGAAAGAAATAAAGGGCATCCAAATTGGTAAAGACGAAGTCAAACTGTTGCTGTTTGCTGATGATATGATCATATACCTAGAAAACCCTAAAGACCCATCCAAAAAGCTCCTAGAACTGGTAAAAGAATTCAGTAAAGTTTCAAGATACAAAATTAATGTCTAAAATCGGTAGCTCTGCTATACCAACAGCAACCAAGCTGAGAATCAAATCAACAACTCAACCCCTTTTACAATAGCTATAAAAATTAAATACATAAATACAATAAGGTACTTAAGAATATACCTACCCAAAGAGGTGAAGAACCTCTACAAGGAAAACTACAAAACACTGCTGAAAGAAATCATAGACAACACAAACAAATGGAAACACATCCCATGCTCATGGATGGCCAGAATCAATATTGTGAAAATGATCATACTGCCAAAAGCAATCTACAAACTCAGTGCAATTCCCATCAAAATACTACCATTATTTTTCACAGAACTAGGAAAAACAATTCTAAAATTCATATGGAACCAAAAAAGAGCCCACATAGCCAAAGCAAGACTAAACAAAAACAAGAAATCTAGAGGCATCACATTACCCAACTTCAAACTATATACAAAGCCATAGTCACCAAAACAGCATAGTGCTGGTAATAAAAATAGGAACATAGACCAACAGAACAGAATAGAAACCCAGAAATAAAACCAAATACTTGTAGCCAACTGATCTTCAGCAAAGCAAACAAAAACATAAAGTGGGGAAAGGAAACCCTTTTCTGCAAATGATGCTGGGATAATTGGTGACCCACATGCTGAATTAAACTGGATCTTCATCTCTCACCTTATACAAAAATCAACTCAAGTGCATCGAAGACTTAAATCTAAGACCTGAAACCATGAAAATTGTACAAGATAACACCGGAAAAAACCTAGACATTGGCTTAGGTAAAGACTTCGTGACCAAGAACCCAAAAGCAAATGTAACAGAAACAAAGAAAAATAGACGAGACTTAATTAAACTAAAAAGCTTCTGCACAGCAAAAGAAATAATCAGCAGAGTTAACAGACAACCCACTGAGTAGGAGAAAATCTTCACAATCTATACATCCGACAAAGGACTAATATCAAGAATCTACAAAGAACTCAAACAAACCAGCAAGGAAAAAAAAAACCCATTGAAAAGTGGGCTTAGGACATGAATAGACAACTCTCAAAAGAATATATGCAAATGGCCAACAAACATATGGAAAAAATGCTCAACATGGCTAATTTTCAGGAAAATGTAAATCAAAATTACAATGCGATTCCACCTTACTCCTGCAAGAATGACCATAATCAAAAAACCAAAAAATAACAGATGTTGGCATGGATGTAGTGAAAAGGGAACACTTTCACACTGTTAGTAGAAATGTAAGCTAGTACAACCATTGTGGAAAACAGTGTGGAGATTCTTTAAAGAACTAAAAGTAGATCTACGATTTGATCCAGCAAGCTTACTACTAGGAAATGCAATACCCACAGAAGAATAAGTCATTATACAAAAAAGATTCTTGCACATGCATATTTATAGCAGCATAATTTGTAATTGCATAAATATAGAACCATCCTAAATGCCCATCAATCAACAAGAGAATAAATAAAATGGTGTATATACACATACACACACACACACACACACCATGGAAGAGAACCCAGCCATAAAAAAGAGCAAATAATGGTATTCACAGCAACCTGGATGGAACTGGAGACTACTATTCTAAGTAATGTAACTCAGGAATGGAAAATCAAATGTTGTATGTTCTCACTCATAAGTGGAAGCTAAGCTATGAGAACACAAAGGCGTAAGAATGATACACAGGACTTTGGGGATTCAGGGGAAAGGGTAGGAGGGGGTGAGGGATTAAAGACATTGGGTACAGGGTACACTGCTTGTTCACCTTCGAAGACACCTTCGCTGTAGTTCAGAGTCCTTTTCCATTCTATTTTAGTAGAGCAACAGCGAAGGAAGACACCTACTACACAGCGAAGGAAGACACCTTCGCTGTAGTTCAGACTCCTTTTCCATTCTTCATCCACGCGCGGGGGAGTCGCGCGCCGCGGTCGCCCGGCGGGTAGGAACTACCATCCCAGCATCCTACGCGGCGCAGGGAAGGAAGCCCGGGAATGAGAGAAAGCGGCTCTGAGGGGATAGCGGGCCAGTGAGGGCCGCCCGTGTTTTGAAGCGGTTTTCGTCTCTTTCCGCTGGGGGCCTCGGAGCTCACGCTGGGGCGGGTCCCGGTAGCGCCAGGCGGTGCAGGGCGGGAAGGGGAGTCGTGGCGGCTGCGGCGGCGGGGACAGCAGCGACGGCGGTGGCAGGGACAGCAGGAGGAGTGGTGCTGTCAGCACGGCCGTCGGAGACATGGGAGACCCGGGGTCGGAGGTGAGTAGTCGAGTGAGGGCCCTGGCGTTCTCAGAGGCGAACCGCGAAGGGTATGTGTTTTCTGCGGTCTGAGGCCTGGTGCTCCATCGCAGCCTCTGGGCGAGACCTCTCCAGCCTCTTGGGCCGAGCCCAGCTCTGGGGCCTGTTGCGTGTCTGAGCGAGGAACCCGCAGCAACAATGGCCGCCCGTCCCACCGCACGGGGCCCGGCGTTCGTTGTGGCCCCCGCTGGGCCAGTGGGAGCGACGTTTTAAGGCAGGATTGCCCTTCGGTGTTGAGCTTGCGTTCCTTCTTCTGGAGTAGATAAGGGGAATTCCAGAGTCCTCCTTCTGGAGTAGATAAGGGGAATTCTGAGAGGCTGGTACTGCGTTTTCAGCGTTGAGTCCCTGCAGCTCCGCACATGCTGTGGCAAGAGCCGACTGCTCGAGTTCTGTTCCTGGTCGGGTTTGCGTGAAATTGTGCTCAGTTCGTTTTCCTCAAGAGCTCTTTGTTTTTAATTGTTCCTTTCGGAAACGCTCTCTTCCTACAAGAATGTGGCTGAACAGATAAGCATGTTTTGGCTTGTTTTTATAGATAATAGAATCTGTCCCTCCAGCTGGCCCTGAGGCATCTGAGTCAACAACGGATGAAAATGAAGACGACATTCAGTTTGTCAGTGTAAGTAGCAACTGATGATTGGGTTTTTCCCAGAGTAAAAGACTATGGTGGGCCCTTATGTAATTTTACCTCACCTGGTCATTTAATGTTTATGAGTGTCTAATACATGCTAGACACTGTGGAGCATGGCACAGGATTGGGATCTTTACCAAAAGAGCTGTCTGAGCCACCCCCGTAGCCATCACAAAGAGCATGGCCTAAAGAACGTGCTGTACACTTAATCTCACCCCCTACCTTTCATTTAGACTTAAGATAAAACGCTGGTCTCTAAGACGCTGTTTTGAAATGGAGCAAGAGTAACTTCTAAAGGCGACACAGAGGAAGGAGCAGCTAATGATGAGCAAGGTCGTAGAAAACAGGAAGGGTTGCGAGAGCCCAGAATCTTAGCGTTATGGTGCTTCTAACATGAAGGCAAATAGCTTGAAGATTTCGCTAACCTCTGAGATCATCATGTTACAGCATAGTACGGTTGATGCTCATAATGAAGAATCCTGCATCACTGGGAACATGCTCTATTTTTCTGAGTTTCTTCCCTTTGGGACAGTAGTTTTCAAGCCTTAGTAAGTATAGACAGGCAGATTCCTGGGCCCCGCTGCAGACCTACCGAATCAGAATTTCAAGGTGGGGCCTAGGAATTCTCATTTTCAGACAAGTGCAGGGACATGTGGATTTCTGAGCACACTTTGTACAGCATTGGTTTCCAAAGCAGAAGGGGGTGTTTTATGATGTATTTTGGGATGATTTTCATCCATAGTTATTGGAGTTTTAGAAAGGCTTTGTGTAAAGTGGTATCTCAGCTACTAGGCAGAAAATAGTTCTGTCCCAAACTCCTCTTTTGGAATGCCGTAGTTAGTTGCAGTTTGGTATTCAAGCTGTAGAAGTTTTCTTTAATGGAGTGTCTAATGTTTCTGTGTTTTTTAGTTTTTGTAGGTTTAGGGTGACTTTGTAAGTCACTTGTTTTTTAAATTAAAATTTCCTCCCTAAACATTGTTTTGTTAACATCGTTGTTTTCGTTTTGTGTAGAAGTTCTTTACACTGTCACTTTCTGGACATTTTTCCCAATTAATATTGCGTGTATATTTTGTTCCTGACATTTGGTAACCTTTCTAAATATTGATGGTACCAAGGGGGATTATTTGCCTACTCTGCCTTCACGGTTATGGAGTAAGCAATGTAACTCGAAATCGAAGAGCAGTGGTTTCTGTTTTTTTTTAACGAGAAACATTTGGGAAGAGGATTTCATGGGTCTTTAGGAAAAATAATTTTGGTTCCTCTTAACTGGTATAAAAACAGGAATAATTGGGACAGATGATCTTGATGAGTTTTTGTGCATCTGTATGTAGAATTGACACTCGTCTGATTCATGATCCATGTATCGTTGAGAAACACAGATGGGCTGTACAAAATTAAGTTTGGAAAAGTAAATAGGTATAGATTTGTGTAATATCCTGAGGAACAAATCACTATATTTTAAATTCTGAGTTAATATATAGGCTGTGTTTAGCTGAGGTTTAAATTACTTTAAATTCTATTTTAAATATAAATATTCTTCTGCATCTTTTCATAAAATATTTTGTGTATCCAGCATGATAGAACCCTTTATATTTAACCCTGTTCAAAATAGAGGATCAAAGGTTTGACAGCTCTTATATGGAAAAGTGACTTACATGCTGTCAGTGTAATTGCAGTACCAGAAAGAACATAGTAAAACATCCCTGTTGCATTTCAGTGGTGCCACGTAAAAGACAATAACTTAATTCTACTTTAAAATGCACTCAGACAACTTTCCTTTGTAACCCCATCCTATACTGGGCTCTACCAGGATATGCTTATTTCTCTGTGTTTTTTATAGTACCATCCAGTAAAGATGCAATGCTGCTGGGTATAGTTCTCTATTTGTGGGTTCTTCATATTAAAAGAAAAAAAAATGTGTTACGTCTTGATATATTCTGCTTTGGATTCCTTAGTCTTTTCATATAAATGTTGATTATCCAGGCTTCATTCTGCGTTGTGGCACAGAATCCTCTTTGTGTTCTGTCATGTACCTAGCCTCCAAAATAAACAATATGCTGAAAGAAAGGAATGATGAAAGATTTGGGGATATAAAAAGAGCCCTTACCTTGATGTAAATTTTATTGAAATATAGTACATATACAGGGAAGTTTACTTCCTCCTTGCCATCGCTATTTTTGTACCACATTGCCATTTGTCTAGATTGATTATCTTGTTTGTATTCTTCCCACATACTCTCCTATGTGGTTAACCTTCTTGAAACAGCTCTAATAATGTTCCCATCTTGATGTTATTTATTGATTCCTTTGCCTATAGAATAAAATCTAGACTTTTGACTAGGGCATTTATGGCCTGGTCTATGATGAGGGTAGTGTATATGTAAAGAAAGGATCAAGAAGATTCAGAGTTTGATGTTTGGCTGTATAGTGATGTGGAGGATAAAGCAGGGTTATCAAAGACCTTCGTTATTTTGAAGTTAGCTATCTAAGAGATTACTGATAATCGTTTCAGTTAAAAAAAATTGTACTATGAAATCTATATCTTTTTTTTTTAATGAGGTAGAGCCAGGGGTGGGTTTTTCACTGTGTTGCCCAGGCTGGAGTTGAACTCCTGGGCTCAAGTGATCCTCCTGCCTCAGCCTCCTGAGCAGCTGAGACTGGCACTGTGCCTAGCTGAAATCTGTATCTTTTTAAATCAATGTCTGTGCTATTTCCCATTTTGAAAGGAATCTACATGCAGGAACATTATTACATGTTAATGTACTCTGACTCTTTTCCCATGCTTTTTTTTTTTTTTTTTTGAGACAGTGTCTTGCTCTAAATTTTATCTAGGCTGGAATGTGATGGCATAATTATAGCTCACTGTAGCCCCACCTTCCTGGGCTCCAGTGATCCTCGCACCTCAGCCTCCCAAGTAGCTGGGATTACAGGTGTGAGCCACCACACCCATCTGATTTTTTATTTTTGTAGAGTTGGGGTCTCACTATGTTGCCCAGGCTGGTCTTGAACTTCTGAGCTCAAGTGATCCTCCTGCCTTGGCCTCCCAGTGTGCTGGGATTACAAGTATGAGCCATTGCTCCCAGCCCCTTTGCCCCTTTTGTTTCTAATTAGTCTGTGCCACTTGCAAGATTTTCTTGAGAATCTTTGCCGATTCCAACTAAAAAAATCTCCCACTAATTGTTAAATTTAAGTTTAATTTGAATGATTGTTCATGACTTGTAAATTTGCCCACTTCCTTTTTAGGAAGGACCATCGAGACCTGTTCTTGAATACATCGATCTGGTCTGTGGTGATAATGAAAACCCTAGCACCTATTATAGTGATGTAAGCACATTATATTTGTGTTTGTTCAGTTTTCTTGTTAAGTGCAGTAGTGTGTTGGAGGTGGCTTGAACTGGATCATAAGAACTAATTGTTGGCCAGGCATGGTGGCTCTCGCCTGTAATCCCAGCACTTTGGGAGGCTGAGGCGGTTGGACCACTTGAGGCCAGGAGTTCGAGACCAGCCTGGCCAACAAGGTGAAACCGCCGTCTCTACTAAATACAAAAAATTAGCCAGGCATGGTGGCACGTGCCTATAATCCCTGCTACTCGGGAGGCTGAGGCAGGAGAATAGCTTGAACCTGGGAGGTGAAGGTTGCAGTGAACCGAGATTGTGCTATTGCGCTCCACCCTGGGCAACAGAGCAAGACTCCGTCTCAAAAAAAAAAAATCTAGTTGTTAAACTTGCAGAAATTTTGTGAGCTGATTGTAAACAGAGCAGTTATTACAAATTAAAGTATATAAATGTACAAGTACATAAATGTTCATTATATTTAACGTAATACTTAATACATCATTTCTTGCTATCTGTGCACTTGAGGTTATTTGCATCTATTGGTAGAAAAACTATTAATAAATAGTGTCCTGCTGCAGTATTGGTAGAACATTATCCCATTG